CTCTCTCTCTCTCTCTCTCTCCCTCTGTCCCTTTTGCGAAATATTTATAAAAATGTAATTATGTACAGATGTAATTTTATTTAATTTTCATATAAAAAGTCAGTAAATATCCTTAAATCGTAATCGTGAAGCTGCGTAAAATCATTAATTAAACGTTTCGAAAGATCATACATTAATATTATTAACTTTCAGGTTCGCGATTTGGCTATGTGGAAACAAAAATTGGACTCGTGAGTTTGCTGTCGAAATATAAATTTAAACTTGATTCTCGGACACCAATTCCACTTGCCTACAACGAAAGATATTTTACTCTTGCAACAAAAGATGATGTGCATTTGATTATCGAATCACGATAATAATCGCATTCTTGCAAAAATAAAAAATATACTGTAAAACAAATTTATTTTATGTATAACAGAGGAAAGCTGTCAACCTAGGTCTTTTAAGGAGAGAGAGGCGCTCCATTATTTCATTTTAATCAGAAAATAAAAAATACACTTTATTAACATTTTGATAAAAACATGATCTGTTAGAATAGATATCGACAAAATGTACTGAAAATGGCATACAAACATTTTATGTATACTTTGTGACGCTCTTAACGTCATAAAATTACGAATAAATTTAAGTGTTCATATTATGAGATGTCATATTGTTGTTATACATTTTTGACAATAGTCACACAATTGATGGGATACCTAGATAGCACAGAAAGTTCAAAAATAATTCATTCTTATATTCAGTCGTATGTCATCAACTTGAAGTTTATTTTTAGATGCAAAAAGAATCCTTTTCAAAACTTCTAGAAAAAGAATCTTTCTGCATCTGAAAATTAATTCAGTATACTGATAGCCAAATTTTTGCACTATGTTCTCATGCAATACGGTTGCATAGAAAGCATCTTTGCAACTGTTATGAGATTCTCCAACATGATTGGTTCTTGCCCTTAAGTTCTTCATGGATTTAAATATATAAACCAATTACATTAAAGAATTTTACAACAGTTGCAAAGCTGCATTTTCTGCTGACCGCAACAAAACTATCTAACGAAGTATCAAATGAAGGGCTAGTGAGCCTTGCACGAAGTTAGTGCTAAAATTACAATTATTTAACAATAATAAAACTATCTAACTTTTATTAAACGTAGCGTTTATTAGAAATTACATTGCACTTATTATACAATATTTTTAAAAAACTGCGTACACAGAGAATAAATCTAACGAAAACATTAATTATTAATTATATCTAAGAATTTTTATTAATTTCTCGTGCTTATAATTGTTCCGTAACATAGACAATAATTTTATAAAAAATATATAGATATTGCAGAAGTAAAACCAATTTCAGTAAAACTATAATTACATGTATAAACAGTTATTTAGAATTATAGAAATATTTGTTAAATGTTAAGTAATTTTAATAGTTAAAAACATATCTAAAATTCTTAATGAGATGGGACTGTTCATATTCCCTTCGGGCTTGATCAGTGAGCACAAAACCATCTATGTAATATTGTGCTCTTGCGCTCTTTCCTTTTAAGTGTAGAAATTCTTTATTATACTGAAAAACCCATTTAATATTACAGTAAGCCAAATCGGCAACAAAATTCTTGTAATTTCACAATGAAGTAAACGACGATAACAACCGACGTATATCTTAATATCATAAATGAGGCAAAAAACATTCATATCTATACATTAAGTGCATCTGTGCAATACTGTTACATAAGTAAAATCAACAAACTTGATATTCCTCTCCAATATCTGTACTTTTCGACAATATTGCCTTTAAAGGAACAATAATTTAGATGCGATTTTCTTTCTGTAAAAAGTAGCTCTTCGCTCATAAAAGGATATATTTTAAAAAATATATATATTTGGTGCGAGACACTACCATGTATTGAATATATACTCTTAATAATAACAATATAAACATAAGTATACGTTTAAGGGCAATATTTAATTATGCCATAGTGTCTTGTCCGGATGGATAACTATATGTATAGTCGTGCTTTCCTGCTCGTACTGACAACAGAGATTTAGAGATCCCGCTTGAAAAGCTTGAAGGCGGCGCGCGTATCTTACAGCGCTAAGGCACTATAGATACGTTCGAACTGACTTTAGATTTATTACCCTTAAGGGAGTCAGTTTTTTAAGGTTTAGGTTTAGTATACGAACTTTATTGTAAACCCGTCTTTTTGTTCTGTGTTCTGGTCTTACGATTAGAGCTCAATTTGAACATTTAGCGACAAATCGTGCTCTGAACAGCTACATATGTTATCAGGAAGAAAACCTACAGGGCTTTGGGTGTGGAAGATCCATCCGGACGAGACACTATGGCATAATTTGAAGATTAAACTTACAGAGTGAAGTTCGATCTTAATTATGCCTTGGGTCTCATCCGGATGGATCTTCCACACCCAAAGTCCTGTAGATTTTCTTCCCACTCTCTACATTTTGAATAGACGATTTGTCTTTAGGCTTTAAACTCAATGAATGGTCATGTGACTGGTGCTATGACGTGCGTACGCTGTGAGATACGCGCGCCCCCTTCAAGCTTTTCAAGCGGGATCTCTAAATCTGTTGTCAGTACGAGCAGGAAAGCACGACTACACAGTTATCCATCCGGACGAGACCCAAGGCATAATTAAGATCAAACTTCACTCTGTAAGTTCGTTTAATCTTCAAATTCTTTATATACTTCTACAAACAAGATAAAAAAAATTATAATTTTTGCGATTTAAAACTTACATAACACGTACCTACAGTAAATCTACCGATATTATCATTTAAATACTGTCTATATTATCTAGATAGATATCTGATTTTTTGTCTCTCTATTATGCATATATCAGCAATGTAAATGTGATAATTTATAGCGGTACATTCGCAATAATATATTTCGTAAGTATAATTTGCAGTATAGTTCGCAATTCATTTATATAAGCGTTATATAACGATTTACGACATTCATTATATAAGCATAGACATAAATATATTTTTTTTTATACTTAATTTGCAGAACATTAGCAGAATTATCCATCGTTTCACAGAGTATCGGTCAAACAAACAGAATACAACAGAAATAAGATCTTGAATCAATCAATTTTCTCGCAAATGACGAATTTTGTTTGTAGTAATCGTAAAAGAATACTAAAATGCCAATCAGGTGTTATAAACTGAGTGTTGTCTAGTGCAAACTATGTAGGAGCACAGAAGGAATTTAAAATTCAATTCTATATACATATCAAATTTAGCTTTCAGTACTGATACGAAAATTGCTTGTTATATTTCAAATTTGAGATGGCACTTGCAGAATTAGTCGGGGCTTTTGTCATTGCCCTGAGCATTTTGTATATTTATTATAAATTTGTGATATTTAATTTCTGGCATAAGAGAGGTGTTTTTTATGTTAAACCCGTTGTACCAACTGGAAATGTAACGAAACTTGTAACTGGAAAATTACAAACAGGCGAGTATCTCTATAATATTAACATCATATGCACATAACATATACATATTTATTTTCTTATGTACTCACTATATTTTTTTAATTTACATAATTGATTGCAGTTGAGAAGACAAAATTAATATTTAAAAGTAAAAATATTAAATAAATTTTAATAATAATATAGTCAATTAAAATTATATATTTGTGAAATTTCCATTAACTGTACATATATTATTTTTCTAATTGTAATTTTGTATTATAATTTAGAATTACTAGATATATTTTATTTATTATTTTATCTATTTTATAAAATTAATAATGTATATTATTGTTTATTGGACTTCTACTTAAAATAAGAAATCGCGAAATTAAATAAACAGAATTATAAATACCTAGGTGTGTTCTTTCATGATGCATATATGAAATATAAAGTTCATCGCGCTTTTGGAATGTATACATTCTTCAAACCAAATTTGGTAGTCGCCGATCCCGATCTTATACGAACGGTGTTAACAAAGGAATTCAAGAGTTTCCATGATCATGGAATGTATTGCAACGAAAAGATTGATCCATTATCGGGCAATTTGTTCCTTATGTCTGGAAAGAAATGGCGAAATATGCGCGTTCAGATGACACCCACTTTTACTTCAGTAAAAATAAAGCAAATGTTTCCGATCCTGAAGGAATGTGGCGAACAATTAGCAAAATATCTTGAAAGGAAAGCACAGATGAGAGATTCCGTCGAGATGAAAGATATATTTGCGAGGTAAATTATTTTTATAGAAACTGTTATTTAAACGAAATTTTTAAACAACAAAGAGTATTAAAAGCACCGTTATTTAAACGTAAAAATTGTTAGCATAATAAAAAATAAGGTACAAAGGGGGTAAACAGCATATATATTCTTTTATAAAGAATTTTTTGTTAATTCAACATATGCAAAATGTATAATTTTAATTCTCTAAGCAAATGAAAATAGCTAGAGTTATGCTTGCGATAAAAGTTATATATGATCTAAAGTGGGACGATTAATGATAAAATCAATTTTCGGAAAAATCAGTATTTCATAATCACATAAAAATTTGCTATTTTCTTAATTAAAGTTGTTTTTATAATAATTTTTTATAATAATTATTGATTTTATGTTTTATGTCATAAGATATGTCAGAATCAAATATCTCGTAAAGATTATTAATTTTTTAGAAACTCTACTTTAATACTTTTATACGTACATACAATATCTATGTAACATAAAAAAAATTATTAGAAATATAACGTGATTAGATATATGGATATATGAATCATCCTCCGATGACATTGACCTTTTGATATTTTATCAATGTCATAACCCTGACAATGAGTAAACTTTAGAAGATTTTAATCGGCGCTCGTTGTTCATTAAAATAAGTTAGACAAAGTTAAACAAAAACAGTATAATGGTTCTATATGGGTTTTTGACTTTCTACGCGAAATGAGGTTCACCCCACTTCCTCCCTTACGGGGCGAAATAAGGTCTACAATTGTACTGTTTCACATAAATTTTCGACTTTTGACGCGAAACTAGATCCATCTCACACCCTTCTGTGATTATAGGCCCGTTCTTTTTAACTTAACTGACTGTACTATAGTTCACAGTTTATCTTTTTCTTTTTATATTAAAAGAAGAAAGATAAATTCTGAACTAGTGCAGCTAGTTCAGCTAAAAAGAACAGGCCTTATATGTGCGGAACGACTATACACTGAAAAAAGTAATCTTGCAATTATAGCTAGAATTATTTAGGCACAAAAAATTAGCTAAAACGGATAAGTGATTAATAAGCAGTGCGATACCACGTATGTTTTATATTTAATCAATACTAATTATATTTAATCAATAGATAATAGAGACAGAAATTATATCTGAATTATTTGTCAAATTTAGCAAGAAAGTTCCTTTATGACGTTTAATCAGTTCAGACTCCAATCCAGACTCCAATCATATTTGGTTATGAGATCTATATTTTCTTGTATATATTCTTAG